ACACTGAAAAAACTGATGTATTATTTCATTAAAAGCGCATCTACAAATAAACAGTTAACACTGAGCCACATATTACTTCAATATATACCTTTCTGTTCACAAAAGAACACTCATTTAGTTTTCACCAGTTAGCTTTAGATCCATCAGTGAAGAAGTCGCTGTCCCTTTTTTGTAAAGTGCTAATAGAGAAGAAAAGAGAAGTCGTTTGTTCCTCGGGGCAAGAAGCTGTTGATGTGATTATGAAAGCAGCAGCAGACGTGTCAGTATACACTATAAATGAGACAGAAATCATTAGTGCGCAACAGGAATTATTTAAGTCTGTAATCATGGCGTGTTGAATTGAGCGATAAAGAAACAACGTTCCTTTTTAATTCCTTTGTTAGCCTGTAGCCACGCTTCAACATCCACAGAGAACAAACTTCTTTCACATAATGACAGTTCGTATCAGAGGCCTGCAGAGAACAGCTAATTGGAATATCAGGCTCAGTAACTTAAAACGAATTCGCTCCTAGAGGTTTGTCAGGCAGGGAAGCTTTTGCAGTTCCTGCACTATTAACACTTTGACAGCGTTCTCGCTAAGAGCTCCTTTGAAGTAGGAGAGACGGACAGGAGGATGATTCTGGCTGCTGATCCCCTCCGCATCAGTGTTGACAGATTTATTAGATACGAATGAAAAAGAGTCTCCGGTTGCATATTCTTGTGTTGAGTTTCTTTGAATCTGGAATGCTTTTATCAACAAGCACAAACCAGACCGAGTCAGTTTAATCTAACTGCAGAGCTGCAGTGCCAGCAGCTTCAGCGCTGCAGATGGAGGCATCACGGGTGTAATGAGGAGTCCACACTGCTCAGTGTCCTTATATGTCCTCTGTCCAGCAGGGATGTTTGTTTGTCGGAAGGGGGGAAAAAAATAGAATCTACATTGCAAATGCCAAAAGAAATCGATAGAAGAAAACAGCTTTGTCCTGTGCAGCTGAATTTGAAGCTGTAGTTCTATTTTTTTGATTCACATCTTTTGTTTTTTAGTTAACCAACAGGCAAATGGCTGTTTCTGCAGACTGCTTCTGCAAAGTGCCTTAAAAAAAAAACACACATTTAAAAAAAAAAAACTATATTTTTCATAGAATAATCAAAGGTTAACTTTGTGTTCAGGTATTTCACATTCACTGCAGAATAGTTTGACACAATGATGATTCATTTCACTTAATTATACTAAGAGATTTATGATAGCGTTTGATTCCCTCTCCTATTGATTAGCTGCCAGGAGTTTGATTTATGCATATGGTGTCTCTGCCTATGGTAAGATTATCATTCATTATGGATTTTATATTTGATCTAATGCTTTGCATTTTTTCCCGTCACCTACATTTGAATAAGGCATCGGAGTCAATTAATAATTTATTGAATGGAACAGAGAACCAGCTCCTACTCAACAGTATTTCTGTCCTCCAACCACTACATATAGCAGTCTCTCCTTTGCTGAACTTCTGCTGTAACAGTGATTACCTTCTGCTGCCTGTAGGAGGCGTCTCCATTTGCAGTGTACATGTCCGGGTATGTTTCTGCGTGCTGGTGTTTCTGGTACAGCTGCAGCCTGATAAACATAAATGAGTTTATGAGTCCGTTAATGATATAATATCTGTGATTCCAGTGGTTGCTTGTAGTTGCAGCAAATGTAACTGAGCAATGTTTGTTTAAATCATGGATGTATGAATAGAGCTGAATACGATGACACCACTTGCTGCTAGTTTTTCCCTGTGGTCACTGATGATATTGCAACAACAACAACAAAAGAAAATCTCCTGTGGCCCACAAATGCATTTTTTCCATAGACCTAAGGGAGACATGTAAAACTGTTGACAGGACATCTCTACTGCAAAAAAGTTATGTTTTTACCATTTTAGGAATTTTTAATCCAGGAGTTTTATATTTGTGACGTCCTCAGCTTCAAAAACATAGTTATTTATATCCTTAAAATGTAAGATCTATGGGCCTAGTGGGAGGCCGCAGCCAGGGCCAGCAGGGAACAACAGCAATGTGCATGTACATCTGGTCATGCTGCACAGAATACAACCTAGAGGCTAGAACATTTCTCGGATCATTATTTCTGAGAAAGTCCACAGGAACAGCACTGAGCAGTGATTTTGACATAGTGGCCAAGACGTGTTGCAGCATCTACATCCATCACATGATATACAATGGCCCAAAAGCATTTTTTCCCCACATGCAGTCATTGTACGTTTACAAACTATCCAGGAGGAAGCTTGGAAAACTTTTGCTGTATGTCCCAATGAGCAGCTTTCATTCCACTGTAGCTTGTAATTCCATATCCGTTTCTCCTTTATACAAAGGCAAGCAGCTTTCATTCAGATAAGCTGCACCATCTTTGAGTTCAGTTCTCATCACATCTATGTAGGGTTTGGCACGTAGTCTAAAGGAATCATTAGGAAAGTTTCATTTTATTTTGGCTTATTGGTTTCCAAACAAGCTTTACTAATACTTGTGTATAAACCATGTAAACACCTACAACGTATCTGTTGTTATCTGTCATCCATCATTCGAGCTAAATGCCAGTGTGTCTTCTTGTCCTAATGCAGTTTGATTAATAAATCATAATTCTATCACAATTTGTATTTGTCCTACTCAGCCAGAGTTGCTTTATTAGCAGGTGAACAGTACAAATTATGTGACTGTCTGTAACAATCACATCAACTTAGCAAATGCTGCTTAAAAAGAAGTCTCAGACGGGCAGGATTGGACTCAGCTAATGTCACAGTGAAGTAGATGAGAAAATATAAAACAGAAAAGAGACCACATCTCGCTCTATGTTTCACTTCACCTCCCAGCAACAAACCCACTAGTCTGCATCACCACATTCTTTATAGGGCTGCAGTTGTGTAACCTCACTGGTTAATCAACATAGTAGCGGTTTAAATTTACACTTTTTAAAAAAATGTTTGAAGTCCTCAAGTATCCTTTACTTAAGCAAAAAATACTAATATTTACTAATATTTGCATTGAAGATGTTACTTAAAGTAAAAGAATGTAAATACAATCAGGAAAATGTACGATGGTAGAAAAACTAATAAGGCTCAGTGGAAAAAGAAATGTCTCCAGTGACCGTTATTCTATAATGCAGCATATTATCTCATTAGTTGTTTTATTACACATGCAGTCGATGTCCAACCCTACATCCACGGAATAAAAAGTCCCTGAGCACCTACTTCTCCTCAGAATTACAGATGGCCAACACTTGTACTTGTTTACAGCGGAAAAATACAAAGTAATGTTGTTTTAATAAAGAAATTAGTGTATTATTGGCCATTTCCCATCATGCCATTAGCAGATTTTATGTTGTGCGCAGTGCAGGTTGTTTACTACACAACAACCAGGCAGAGTTAATGTCCCGCTGTGGCTTCTCCCTCTTGTTGCACCGCTCCCGAGCAAAATTAAAAAGCATCCACTGATTGGTTACCAGTTTTTTTTGTTTGTTTTGTAGACACTTAGCGCTAAAAGCAGTTGCAAATATAATGCAGTTCCTGGACTGTTTCATAATGAAAGCCATTCCATGTTTTGCCAGTTGAATGCTTTCAGTGTGAAGCAGCAGCAGAAAAAAACAGGTTTTTGAACTCTGATATTGTGCAAAGTGAGTAAAGAGTAAACAACGAGGCTATTATCAGTGCATTAAGTGCATCGTTCTCTTCTCAAGAATTTCTCGTGTGTGTGAATCCTTGAATCCTGAGGAATGCCATGCTCTGCTAACAACGGTGAAAACTACTTTAAACGGTGTAAATTCTTATATCCTGTTTGCCTGGAGTGCCTGCAACGTCTTACAGAGCTGATAATTTTCTGCGGTGCATGCGGCTGTAAGTAACGTTAGCTGGGACGCACACACTCAAACACACAAACGCTTACACCTGTAATTAGTTTTCCATACATTTCTCTGCCTCCCTCCCTCGCCCCATTAGGAAGCAGAAACTAAAGTTTTCCCATTAGACAGCTAAATCTGACTCACTCAGTACGTGGGTTTGCTCTGTACAGTCCATGCTGTGTGATCTGACTGGTGAAACCTCAAAGCTTGTTGTGTGTGTGTGTGTGCTAGATGACTCGCAGCGGTTTGGTCCAAATAGCTTTTATTAAGCTGACAGAAAAACCTTGATCAGGACCGAGAACGGCAGATTTGCTCACAGTATCGGGCTTGTTGACCAACATTTGACTGATACGTGAAGCTGGAGGAGGGTCAAACACTCCTCCCTTGTGGATCCTGAACAGAGGACACATTCACACCAGGGTTCATGCATCCAGGGGCCAAGGTTGAACACCCTTCCCCCCTTTTTTAACCCCTTCTTCACTCATTTCCTTCTAGCTTTATTACCTCCAGCCCTGCTCTGTCTCTCCCCCGTCCCTTCTTCCTCTTTCCTAAAAATAATCCTCCTTGCTCATCACTATTCCCCTCACATTTGTCTCCTACCAGTGTCAGTCAACTGTGTCCTCCACAAGCTCTGCAGCCACTTCCCAGAAATATTTCAGCTCTCTGGGTGCCTTCTGGTCTGAATATCTTTTGCCCTGTTTGAGTGATGTGTTCACTGTTAAGGTTGACACAAAATGGATGGCTATCTGTGGTAGGTATACCTCTGGGAGCTGTTTTGGAATGAAAAGTTTTCAAAATAGTTCCATCCTTCCATTTCAACCAAAAGCTGCAGGGGACCACAGAGTGAATCTTTGTGTTAAACAGACTCACTTTTTTTCCAAACCAGATGGAAAAAGGGGATCTTTTGAGAGTTCTTTCTTTCTGCATGTCCGGAAGATCCAGATCACCCCCCTGAAGTCGTCTGGTTCAGATGAAAAGTTAAGCAATGTTTTTAAGTTTGTTCTTGGCGCTGTTTGGCAGAACAAAGGCCCCACAGGTCAGCCGAGGACAATGCTTTCAAGCATTGCCTAACAACTTGGAACGTAGTTCTTCATTGTATTAGTTGCTTTTTCTCGTTTTCTTCCACCCCCAGGGTCAGGACAGTACGCCTACGGAGATGATGAGGACTGGTATTCACGTAGATATAAAGGTGACTGCACTTGGTTTGTAATTGTCCAAACACACATGCATACATACACTACATTGATTGTTCAATTTGACCCACATTCCAGTTTAGAAAGTGTTCATATTGCAATCAAAATAAAGACATTTTCATTTTGCTGGAGCTGGATTAACATCACCCCATACAGAGCTACATGGATCAGCTCCAATATTAAAACCGTTCATCCACTTTCTTCCACTTATCTCGTTTTGGGTTGTGGTGGCAGCAGATTAAGCAGGTCATTCCAGGCTTCTCACCCCTCGAGCAATACTTTCCAGTTCCTCCTGGGCAATGCAAAGTTGTTCCAAGGCCAGATGAGATATGTGATCCCTCCAGCCAGTTTTGGATTTATACCAGTATCTCCTGCCAGTTGGACGTGCCTGGAAAACCTCTACAGGAAAGTCATTCTTTCGTTCTGTCATTCTTTCCGGCACTACTCCGAGATCACGACAATAGCTGAGAGCTGGATTGTAGACTCACTGGTAAATCGAAAGTTTTGGCCTCTGGCTCAGCTCACTCTTCCCCACGACGGTCCAGTACAATGACCGGATAACTGCTGATGCTGCACCAGTCCATCTGCCTAGCTCATGCTCCATTGTCCTGTCACTCATGAGAGATCTGAGGATCTCAGGTGGTTAGAATAACACTGATCATCTTGTTACAATGCAATGTTCTGCTGGGAAACTTTGAGTCTTTGCATTAATGTGAATGTTTGACACCTTTCACCCACCTAAACCATGTTCATAACCGAGCCCACCCCCAGCAGGACTCGAGGAACACAACCAAGAGCTTAAGGCCTCCATTCTCCCTAAAACCCAATCTGATCAAGCATCCATAGAATGCATTGGAACAGCCCGATCCATGTAAATGCCACCCAGCAATCCAAAGGGCCCAAAGGATCCAATGCTAATTTCCTGGTGCCAGACACCAAAGCAGACCCTCAGAGATGCTTTTGGTGGCAGAAGAGTGAACTACACAATTTTCAGCAGATGGTTTTAATGTTCTGGCTGATCCATGTAGATCTGTTGCTGCCCTCCAACCAACAGTCAAGTGTCTAACTAGCTGCCACAAGTTTCATCCATTCATGTATAGTCCCTAGTTTAAGATGAGTCATCTAAGCATTTTAATATTTTACAGACAGGCAACATGTTTTGTAATGATAATCAAAAATAGATTTTGACATTTATTTGGAATCTAACACAAGTCAGCTGAATAATTACTTCAGGGACACTGGCTCAGAACACACAAAAAATGTATTTTTGTATTTTACTTTGCCTTTTAAAAGTCTCATTTCAACACCAGTTAGTTCAGCCAGTTTTGCAAAACTGACACAGTTACGTCAAAGTAGCTTCCAGCATTAAATTCGGGGTCAGTTAGACACGGAACATTATTATCCAGGCCAAACCAAACTCTGCCCTTGTGTAAAAGCTCAAATGTAGTATTATTTTCTTTTACTCGGTGGCTGTGGAAGCTTTGCCAACACACACACATACAGAGAGAGAGAAGGAGCAAGGGAGCCTCGCTGTGTAATGAATACTCATTTTTATTCCAACTGGAAATTAGCCTAAACTTGTGTGTATCTTCCTCTCCAAGTGTGTGCATATGTGTGTCCACAGGCCCGAGCGTTCGTCCTGAGCCAGCAGGAAATAAACTGCAGATTTTGATTTCCCTGAATTGGAATAAGAACCTTGGGGCCCCTGAAACTTGGCATCAGACTAGAATTTTTTACACAAGCATTCTAGAGATGGGCAGCAATCCAGGTTTAAAGGGCACAAGTTGAAAGGTCTGAAAGGACAAGTTTGACATTTTTTGGAATTACGCTTTTCTACTTTCTTGTCGAGAGTTGGATGAGAAGACTGATATCATTTTCATCTTTTTATGATAAATGTGAAGCTGTTGCCAGCAGTCGGTCCGCTGAGATTACTTTGACAGCTAGCTTTTTGTCCCTGTTTCCTGTAATCAATCTCAGCTAATCTAACTGAATGTACTTTCATACTTATACGTACACAATGATTCTTCTCATCTAACACTTGAAAAGAATACAAATAAGTGCATTTTACAAAATATCACAGTGTTTCTTTTATTAGGGCACCATTATTCTAAAACAAAACAGATATTTCTATCGTCAAGCTGAGTAAGAGAAGTGGAAATGGATCCAGGGGACAATAAACGGAGATTATACCTAAATCGCTAGTGTGATAACTATCAGTAAAGAGCAGCACTCTCAACACAGACTTTTATCTGTGGGGTGACTTTCACACTCTATAACACACACTGAAACTTAAGCACTCCCTACACATCATTATCTGTCTTCTCCTCAAGTGAGGCTATCTCCTTCCCCTCCTGAGACACTGTTGGATTATGAAAAGTCGCAGATAAGGTAATGAGAAATCCACCGTATCTGCCTGTACTCAAGGTGATGGGTGGCTTTTTACATTTTCACACTAATAAAGTCTTTCTAGCCCTTTCGTAGTCTTCAGGTAAGTGGTTATTATTCAGCCTCTCCCACTCCAAGACCACACCATAAAATATATGAACTTGGGCCGATGCTGCGATTTAAAAGGTCAGTGCTGTCCTCTTTCTTCGGTTTTCAGGAACCCCGTGGTGCGCGCCCATTAAGGTGAAACATGGTGACGTGAGCTGCCGCACACCCAGAGGGGAGCACTACAGGAACGTGATGGGGACTCGCTGTAAAATCCGCTGTAAGCAGGGATACGAATCTCAGAGCACAGAGGTGGTGTGTATGGCTAGCAAGCACTGGTCCTCCAACTACGCCTGCCGAGGTGAGAAACAACATCCACCTGAACGCACATCGAATCTGTCTCTCTATGTATGGATCTATTAACATGCACATCAGAGTCATAAGTCCTTTGACATGCAGTCCTTTTTGTGTTGACTTGAATTAGCATGCTGGTCACTTTTCCATAAATGGCAGTTCTTCTACCTTGGGGCTTACATTTACATATCACTTCAACACAGCAGAAGTCTGAATTGCATGCAGTCCATTAATGGATAAGCGTCTGCAGGATTACAATGCACAAACTGTCCAATCCCACACCTGTAGCAAATATTACACATCACATGTACCGTTGCTTTCGCAGTGTGAATCCATGAAGCCATGAGGAACTTCAAGTGACCTCTGTTCAAACAGCAGAATACCATCACTTTAACAGACTTAGCATATCCTGTATCTGAAAGGGGCTTTAGACTATGCACAAAGGTGAACATAGCAAGACTGGCCTGCCCTAGAGCAAATCTGAAGCCCAACTTGTGGTCGACACCAGCCTTTGCTGTTACCCCCTGGAAAATACATCCCGGACTGTCAATCAGTGGCTACACAGCAGACATCAGTGCCTTCCATTAGCCGTACAGTCTCTTCGGTGGAGCATTAATTACCAAAATGAGACACCAAAACACCTTATAGAAGGTGAAAAGTTGATGCTTTAGAAATGAGAGTCAATTGGATCTAGCCTCCAATGGCGTTGTGCTTTGTGGTACTTTCACACTGACTTAAACATAAAGCCAAGTAACTATCTGATTATATTTCATTGTTAATCCTGTTTTTCCTCAGCTTTAAACCTCAGCTCACTGTCTCAAGTTTATTCATGGCATCCAAATCCAACATTTCAAATAGATAATACTGCCTGTTGCTGATGCTCAGGACTTTGCAAAGCGAGTTATTTTCTTTATACAACAAATTTGTAAACAATTAAATGGATCTATTGCTTTCCTTAGAAGTCCAAACTTGGCAGAGTGTAAAAGCTTCTTTGGAAACAGACCGTAGGACACTAAATTATTCCACAGTAACTCAGGATATTAATGGATATTACTGCTACCACTGCGGTGGTGGTGGTGTGCTTGAAAAGAGCCACTTTGTGCAATGTGATTTCTGCTGAGGAAATGGTCTCACTCGAAGGTGTGGTGAAAAGCAAGTCATTGCGGAAATGGCTGAGACAAGATAATTGTCTGAATATGGAGTTAACAGTGCACATTTTCAGGCAATCTCTCCTTGAAAGCATCTATAGTGTTGCACCGATTGTACGTGCAAAAAGCGACGTTATGTGTATAAAGAAGTGGACATGACTGTCTGAGAATCAATTTCGGAAAGGTTGCAAAAATTGCAGCAGCAATTCTAAACTTAGAAATTGTAAGGGGACAGAGATTCTAAAGCTAGTCGACCATCAAACTGGCATTTGTTGTAAAGTATACAGACCTCTTCAGTTCCTCCACTATAGCTTAGGATACTGATGGACCATATGAGTTACTCTTTACCACGTAGCTCTAAAATCAGTTTGCTCAAGCCAAAACAGTGCATCTTTTTTTAGACATGAAAGAAGACCATGATGTATCAGTAATTAAATGCAGCAGCCTAAATTTATAACATGCATCTGAACATTTTTAACACAAACCAAACCCTGCATTAACCTTGATTGTTTTCTGCTGACAGAGATCCGTTGTGCCAAGCCGGACATGCCTGTTAACGGCGGCTACAAGTGTTCGGATGGCTCTTACTTCAACTCCCGCTGCGAGTTCTTTTGTTCTCCTGGATTCAGTCTGAAGGGCCAGAAGACGGCAACCTGCCAGCACACCAAAGTGTGGAGTGCTGGAGTCCCCACCTGTGTTGGTAAGACTGTGTGTTTGTTCTTTTGTGCACATGTTGATTTCCCACAGAGGACTGGAGCCTGCAGGCTACTAACAAGTAATTACTTGCTTAAGGCACAATGTTAGCTCCTGCTAGTCTACAACAAAGCATATTCCTCATAATACAAGGTTTTATGATTGATGTTTGGTAAAAACAGGCCTCAAGAAATATTATACACACTCATACACCAGTACTCTGTGATTTGTTGAAAATGATAATATTTTTCTCTTCTCAGCCTGAGCTGAAAATAACTCTGTTTTTCATGAAAAGCTGAGATGTACAACCTGCACTTAGGTGATCATATAAATAGTAGAATAGTCTTATCCAGCAGACAATCACAGCGTTTTTGTGTAGCTACAGACTCATTCAGTTGTCACTGCCAGCGCATCCTTTCCGCTGCTGTTTGTGAAATGATTCTTGAGTCTGCTACATCTTTGTAAGAGGACACACTGAAGATTCCTCAGAGTGATGATTCATCTTACCTTTTGTGTCACATTAAAGCATTGCTTGACAATTGATTCTTTCATCGTATCTTTCAATGTCTTGGTCTCCGCCTTATTGAGTAGACGTCCAAGTGTTACTGGTGGTACATTGTGCCACAGGTTCACAGTGTGTTACTTTAGCTGGTGAGAGCTGCTGTAGTTAAGACAGCGTGGTCGCTTTATTGTCCATTACCCCATCAAGACAACTTAAGCCAGCCTGTAACTCATTGCATCAGGTTTTATTGGGTTAAATATTAAAGAGAAAGTTGAGATGTTGGGGACAAAATGACTAATATTACTGATAATCATGTTGTCACCCATACGCTTCTTGAAGCTCAGTGTTGTGGCTCCAGCTGTCACCATCTTGGTAGCGCCTTACTCCACCTAACTCCCAGTTAATCCAAAAATGACTGAAAAGAAGTAGAATGTGAGTGGAGCTGAGACCACACACCCTTCTATGCATAACTTTAAGCCTTGATACAATATAATGAGGTTAATTATATAAGGATTTGCCTTCCATACAGTTCTCATTATTCAAGGATTCCAAGACTTTACCGGTTGCAAACACATTTATGCATAGAATAATGCGCAGTGAAATGTGTTGTGCACCTGTTCCACACTGAAACAATAATAATAGTAATAGGAAGAAGAATAAAGAATAAAACACACAATAAATAAATATATATATATATGAATATATATAGAGAGAAATAGATAGAAATAAGCAAAAATAAATAAATAAAATTGTCAAACTGGGACAATGAACGGGGAAATTGTCTACAGAGACCAAAACTGTTTTTTTGTACCAGGTTGTTTTAATGTTTATTCCTACTGTAAAGTTGGACATTTTAACATGGAGGTCAATGGGGGTTGTCTCACTTTTGGAGCCAACCTCAAGTGGTCATTAGAGGAACTGCAGGTTTGCATTTCCACATTGGCTTCACTGTTCAGCCATGTCTTTTTATTTGTTCGCTGTTTATTGAAGTTTTGAAATGTCTTATTTTCTCTCTGTAGACATGGATCCTCCAAAAATCAAGTGTCCTACTCTGAAGGATAAGTGGGCAGAACCGAGAAAGCTGACGGCGAGGGTGACCTGGGACACACCAGAGGGCGTTGACACAGCTGACGGCATCCTCACAGAGTCAGTCTGATCTCAACCTCCCTTTTAAGCTTTTCTCCCATTTCACTTCGCCGGTGCCCTCAGCCTGTTTTAGTCTTGTTCATTATTTCATTCTAAAAGGGGAGATAACAGCGAAAGATTAAAAGTGAGGATGTGTTTTGCAGTGTTATCCTGAAAGGAAAGCCTTCAAAGTCAGACTTCCCAGAGGGGCTCCATAAGATGTCTTATACGGTGTTTGACCGGGCCGGGAACAAAGGGTCCTGCCGCTTCACTGTCAGAGTGCGAGGTGAGTCTCTACAAGCACTGAGAGAGATTTTGATCATTTGTGTGGGGCAGGATTCTTGGTAACGCTTTATATTATGGGGTTATTTCCAAATTGTTTTCTAAAATTATCTGGAAAATGAAGGCTGTGTTCTATTGTTAGACTTCTATAATTCTATCAAAAAATAATTAAATCAATCAAACTCAATTAAAATATCAGTTTACAGACAAATTAAATACAGTTTTACGTGCTTTACAAGCAACAGGCACAACATTAAAATAGATTTCATGCACACAATAGAATTGTATATGACAAAATAAGAGACTGGTAGTTAAGATAATAACTGTAAGGTAATAAAAGCAATAAAAGTAATAAAAAAAATAAACATTAAACAGAATAAATGGAATATAATAGAATGGTAAAATGTAAAAAAGATAAATTACAATAAAGTAAATAAGGAGGATTGAAATATAAAACAAGTATAAAAATATAAAACCATGCCCAATGTACAGGCAAAGAAACAACAGGTACCTCAATATAAATCCAGTTCTATGAGTCTGTGTGTTTATCTGGGCTTCAGCATTAACTGAAGATTTATGAGAAAGCATAGTCTCAATAAATTATATAAAATGATTTGACAAATGTTGCAGTTGTCTACAGACACAGTCCAATTCAACTTACATTTAGCAAAAGATTTTCAGTAGTAAATTGACATTTCATGGGTCTTTATCTTTCATGGAAACTCAATTTTCTAATAAATAGTAGCAGATTTACTTGTTTTCTTGGCATGAAGCAGCACTAGACTGTCTGAGCTGATATCTGTTCCTACTCCACAAATGCATTAAAGTTCAAAGTATAATCTGTGACATTTACCAAACTGTCCAAGAGCGAGGCCGATTAATGGAAATCATATCCATGTAACACCACCTGGTTTCCATCATGCTCCAGGGGCATTTTTCTCAGTACTCGTCATGTGCTACAGTTAATGGGAATCAATGTCCTCGGAACCCAGTATCTAGCAAACACTGTACTGCATGCTTCATGTGGAATCTTCTGACATAACAGGCCGACATGGCTGCTTTTGTAACCTTTGAAATGCGGCAGGCCTTGTCAGCCCATTATGAAGCATTAGGTCCGTCTGCCACTAAAGCAGTAATGGATTGAGTCTTTGAGCTGAAGGACGGTCTCCTTTCTTTTTTATTGCTCATTGAAGCAAGTTGAAGATGTTTCAGAGCAAAACAAAAGGAACAAATGACAACAAGGTATCACATATTCTACTGTCATACACACACTTTTTTCACGGATGAAAATTGTGAAATGTCAGAGTAAAAAAATCCAAAGTATGAATAATAAAATAGACGATGGCTGATTTCCATTTATCTGCTTCAGTTTTAGGTGTCGTGTGCTGACTCACTGTCACGCTGTCCTACTGAGACGCTTAAACTGAGTCATTATTAATGTTAGAAGTAGCACGTTGTTTTAGTATGACGAGTCAGATTGTCTACTGTGATAAAGGCCTGTGGTTTACTTTAAGAAACTTTATTTTATAACAGCTATTTTTTGCATGCAGTCAAAGTTTACAGACACAGGTTGCTGTTTATTACTAGATATTATTCCTAAATATTAGCAATATCATGACGTGAAATCTCCCTTAAACTCCCAAAGCTTACTTTATATATTGAATACGTCTCCATAATATTACAGATTGACGACTAAATGTGCAAAATTTAAAGTTGAAAGTTGGATAAAAACATCTTGAGGCATTATTAATATTAATAATAGCTTTCAAAAGCTCAGGTAAACTGCCTCATTAGAACTGTGTGAGCACAGTTTGATTATATTCAACTGGCAGTGCTTGATACATAATCAAACAACCCCAAAGCTGTCTTCACATTTTAATTTAAGTGTTTCTAAATCTTTGGAAGGACGCCTTCTTTCCAGCTGTAACCTCACGCAGAAAAAGAGTGATTTACTGTAGAACCTTAGCACTCAAAGTAAGAAGCTGATGGGTGAAAAGGTCAGTTCTGCAGGTTAAAATGTTTTATTTCATATGGGGGATGTGTGAACAACTCAGTTAATGAGTTTTTCTGTATGCTCTGAGTCTTATGTGCCTCTCTCTGTGTGCAGTCCGCCGCTGCAGCCCGCTGTTCCCTCCAGACAACGGTTATATGAAGTGTGACAGCGACAAAGACAACTACGGAGCCTCCTGTGAATTCACCTGTACGGGCGGCTACGAGCTGCAGGGCAGCGCCGCCAGAGTGTGTCAGTACGGACTCACCTGGTCTGGTTCAGACACCACCTGTGCACGTATGTACACAAACATACTGTACCTGCACATACATTTACTTTAGGCATAGTATTTCTTTCTTTGTAGCCCTTTTGCATTCATTTCCCAAACTCTTTTTTGCTAAAAGACTAAAAGCTTGAAAGCAAATCATTAAACCCTTCTGTATACAATAGCAGCTTAACAAATATATGTCTCTATAGGCGTCAGAAAACACTCAAAGAGATCACAGTTGTGCTGTTCACTCGCTGTTATTACAAAGTAAGGAACTATCACTGCTGCTGCAACTGTTGCTGCAGTGGCATCGCTACTTTAAAACAGTTGTATTATGAGGTTTTGTGGTTCCAGACGATAAATCAGAACCAGCTACTGCCTTGTAAAAGCACAGCGGCAAAATTGTCACACATTTGCGCTACTGAGCGTTAAGGCGTTAGTTGCTCTTAAAAGTGAGCTTAAAATACATCTGCACAAGTAGAACAAGAACAAAAAAAAAAGAAAGTCTTTCATTAAAACACAAGATGAGTGGACAGTAAGAGAATATCCATTTATATTAACAGAATTTCACCTTCGTTTTGTATGTTTTATGTGCTGAAGACTTTATTTATAATGAGTCGTTATAGTTGTAGTTTATAATGACAAGGTGCCATTTTTTTTCAAAAAAGTATTTGTGTGATTTTTGTCTTCGAGCCATAAGTGAACATTTCATACACTTATTTTATTTTACAGTTTTTCCACTTTTCTGTGTGTATTTGCACTGTAAAGTACAAATCTCTGCCAGTATTGCAATTTTGGGAGCCGTTCACAAAGGTATTGCAAAAAACAATAACAAAACCAAAAAAATTCACCATCTTGGGAGAAGACACAAAAACATACCAGTAATTTGCAGCTTGTTTACCAACTCCCTCCTGCAGGTTTCTGTCAGTTCCAGTTTAATTTTTCTTTTTCTTTTACCATTTTTTTGGTGGTTTTATATAATATTTGTTGATAATTTTCAATTATTTTTTCCAAGTATTTGCATTAGAAATGACTGGAGCATTCTTAAGTATTTTTTCCATCCAACTCAGCAACTTTGTTTTTTACATGATAAGGCAGGGTTGTTATCATTTAGAAAACTTAGTAATTTCTAATCGCATGTTGGTGTCAGTCAACTGTGGCAGCACTGGTTCTGGTTTCATGCGAGAAGCTCAGTGGAGGAGAAAATGGCCGCCTCTGCTTCCCATCGATTAGAAAAATCAATACCAGCCGCCTCTCTATTAAACGTCTGTATCTGTGAGACAGGGAAAAAGTCAGTTGCAGCTCACATGTTGAGTTCATTTATATTCATCTGCTGAGCAACAATCTAATCATGCAGCACCTCACAGCAATAACGCGTTGTGCCGTGCGTCATATCTCGCCGTGATTGTACATTCAATGTCTTCACAGCCATGAACATTAATGTGGGAGTGCGCTCTGCTGCCGCGCTGCTGGACCAGTTCTACGAGAAGAGACGGCTCCTCATTATCTCAGCGCCGACGGCCGCCAATCATAATTACCGCTTCCAGATGACTAACTTACAGGTGAGGCACGACTCGCTGAGAGAACATGAGCTGAATGCGGATGGACTGAGACGCAGGGATGAGCAGGGGGAAAGAGATGGAAGTCAGTACTGATTTGTGTCCTCTCACAAAGAAGATCTTGGTGTGTTTGGTTCTCTTTCTTGCTTTGCTGCCTAAGTGGGACAAATCCAAATAAAAAGGAGAGACGGTGTCGTGGTGACAAACAGAAAATGCCATGGCGGTGAATAAATGACAGTGACACCGGCTCTGATAAGGCTATTCTGGGGCGGATGTTTTCCCAGCTTGTCAGAAACCATTAAGTCAGAGCTGTCTTTAAACGCCTGACCTTTCAAAGTGACTGCGTTATCAAACCGGCGTCAGTTTGTGAACAAGCTGAGTGATCCGTCATGCTGTCTGTCCACTAGTTTCCCTTTCAGAAGTTCTTTATGAAACATATTATATTTATTAAGCCACCTTAAAGCGGTGGGAAAGTGGAAAAAACTTCATCTTAATCTAGGAAATTCTAATCACCATGTACAGTTCATGTACAGAACTACACTACCGCTGCAGCGTGATTAGTACTAAGACCATCAGTTTCAAGCATTTTTAGAGTCATACGGTGTTTCAATTCAGTCACCTATTTACTAGTTTAAAGTAATGTTGCTTTAGTGCAAGACAATCTTTGAAATTTTGCACAGAGCTTCTGACAAAACTAACTTGATACGAGGATATATTTTTATTCTAAGCACACAGTGGACACTGATATTTCCCTTTGGGCTCAATAAAGTCTGTCTGCCTAATTCCTTCTATCCTGTGTGCCAAAAACCTTCAGTCAAGAAGCACAAACTGTTGCTGTAGCTGTGAATTAATGATTCTCAGCCAGGGGTATGTGCACCCCGGTGAGTACCTGTCGAAGGACCGTGGAGTAGCTTCACTAATTTGAAAAAATAGAAATCGTGATTTCTTATGAATAAATATCCGCACATTTGCATTTAGAAGGAAAATAAGCTTAGAAGTAGGATGAGACATCAGTGTGAGGTTGAATTCATTGAATAAGCTCTCAGAAGCCCAAAACCCTTGGACTTGAAAGCATGTTGTCTTATAAAGAGGAAAAAATTAAGAAAAATCATCAAAATTACACCATTTATCACAGCAAGAAACTGTAAAACTGAATCAGTGAATTTTCAGCTTTCCTTAAGCTTCTGATCTGTGTTGCACCGCTTCATCAGAAAAATTAACCAAATCCAAGCTCGTGATAGTTCATCAAAATCATTTTATTCTACATAGCTTGTTTAAAAAGTTGCCAAAAATGTTTCTTCTACCGTGATTCTGTCAAAATCAAAATTAGTGACTCAGCTGCAACCAACGGTTAAATGACAAAAATCCAGGGACTGTTTTTTTTTTTACCTGAACTGGGCTGAACTGCAGGCTACACAGAGCAGACGTGAGAAAAGGATGTAAACAAATTAAAAATGTAAATAGTAAAATACCTGCAGTATACAGAGACACTGTTGGTTTTCTCACTACTGGTAACACCTCTGGACACTTGGAAAAATGTACTACATGTTGATTCAAGGTTGTGGTTTTTCTCCAATTTTTGCAACAATAAATGATAGAAGAAATTCAACTTTAGTTTTTCATTTCTGACTTATGGCATTGTAAGTTTGTTGTACTGCAAAGAAGAGTTCTGTCCACCTCCAGCTATGGTTGTGCTGTTTCCATAGAGGTGCCCACAGTGATTACAGGGTCAAGTCAAGACACACACAGTACATCTAGTCAGAAAAGATGCTGTTACAATGCGCACTTCTATGTAATTATTATTGTTAGAAAACATTAAGTTTATGATTACTGAATCAGTTGAAACATGTTAAACATGGGATGTGTTAATAAAAGGGCACTTGAGCTCATGTGATGGAGCTGCAGGGACACAGCAAACTACTGTACATCATATATATTGATTTTTTTTGTGGCATTTATGTCTTTATTGGATACCATCTCACCAGAGGTGGATAGTAAGACATGCAATAAAAGCCGACCCCCAGGCCCCATACAGTTTAAAAAAAAAAGGGTGAAATATTCTGCAACAGGAAAAAATAACTTCCTACCAAAGGCTTGTTTGTGAGAGTGTTTATGCTGTCTGTTTTGGCAGCACAGTGGGGACCAGCACAATATTAGGCAGCTGCTTTTAATCTTGCTGTATTAATCATGAACACAATGGTTTGCCGCAGCCCTGGTGGTTCAATAGAGGTGAATACGAGCTGTTCTCGGTTTTCTTTTGCCTCTACAGTAATCGATAAGGCTGTAAAACTTATGGCTCAGTCTGTCTTTGTTTCTGTCTTGGGGGATCAGCACGCTCAGTGTGGACTGGACTTAAGACACGTCACGGTCATCGAGCTGGTCGGGACCTATCCGGCACAAGTTGGACGAATTCGTCACAGGCTGCTTACTCCAGCGCTGGCCCTGCAGCTAAGGTACTGACACACATACACACACCATGACACACACACACGTACACACACACACACAGGGACACTTTTGTGTAACTTCAGTAACTTGTGTGACTTTGCCTCGCTGCCAGGATACTCCTCCGGATTCCCCAAAGGTCTTTCCAAATGGTGCTGGTGGACAAGCAGGGCATAGACAAGCAGCGCTACCCGTTCCCCATCACGGCGGCTGAATTATTCACCACCATCGACACCTTCCCCCAACGCAAGGATGAGATGCTGCTCCAACAAGAAGCGGGCCAGGGCTGTCAATCATAAAACACCCGCAGCACTCAGTGCACTTCATGGACTGTCAGCCATCTTTGATCCTTTCCCTCCTCCGTCACAGCAGACAAGACCGACTCAGATCTTCTGTTTCCAGCCACATGTCACACACTCCTACCTGAACTCATTCTGTCCTGTATCCTCTATGTGTGAGTGTGTGTGTGTGTATGTGTGAGTGTGTGTAAGTGCGAGTGTGTGTGCGTCATCAAGGGTTTGGATGTCAGTCATGGTGCTGATCTGAGGCTGATCTAAATTAAATAGATCTCACAGTACATTACAATCATATTGATTCCTGTGTCTTGTCTGTTTTATATTTTTATTATTATTATTATTATTTCCAAAGCAGAAATATGTTTTACTATTTTGTACAAAAAAAAATAAGTCTTTTACTGTATGAACTGGAAAACTTTTCACCTGTCTAATATTTATGTCTCCTCTCTCTATTAATGATGTACTCTGTGTGTGTGCGTCTGTACATCTATGAAAACACTGATTAAAGGCGTCCAGTACAGAGGATGTGCTCTCCTGTGTGTCAATGTGGGAAAGAGATGTACAAGATCATCTGAGCGTAAAGAAAGAAACCAAAGAAGAAGTCACAGAAAAAAATTCCCTCGTATCATTTGTGTAAAGAAAAGTTATTAAAATTACAAAGAAAATATCCTTGCAGGACTAAAAATTCAACTCTTTTTTTTTTTTTCCTTCAGCATAAAGTTATTTCAAGCAATTTCTAAAATTAAGTGTTTGTTATGTTAATGAGTCGGTTTATTTTGCTTCAATTTGGATGAATAGAAATAAATTTGTTGCACAAGTAGGCCTTTATCAATCTTCTTTCTGTGGATGTCAGTCACTCAGAACAAATCCTAACAGTGTGGCTTTTCTGTGTGACGTTTGCTTTTCCCTCCCCAGGTTTTCTGCCCATGTTTTGGCTTTGCTTTCAGACGTGGTAGGTTCATTTTTGCTTGTAAATTGGCTGTAGGTGTGAGGGTGGTGTGTGAGTCTCCTGTTTTTGTCATCAAGAGTCTGAGTAGGAAGCACTATTTTTGCAACAGGATATGCAGAACTTTTAATGTTAGAATTTTCCTGGCAAATTAAAATATTGGAGTGACAAAGCAATAATATACATAATACAAATTAACCTGATTGAATATTAAGGTTACGACTGTACAATGCTACATATAAAACAAATTTACATGATAAAATGATATGGTGAAGACACTGCAGCATTATGTATCATACAAATTTGACTGATTATTCAAACATTAAGGTTAAGACTCTACAATAATTTACAATGCAAATGTACCTAAATAGTATATTAAGATGAGGATCCGCCAATGTTATATATAATACAAATTTACCCAATTTAAATATTATGGTCAAGTCCTTCCAATATAATATATGATACAAATTTAACAGTCTAAACAGTTTAAATATTAAGATTAAAACCCTACAATATAATCTATAACACAAATCCATCCATCCATTATCTATACACTGCTTAATCCTCACTAGGGTCGTGGGGGGCTGGAGTCCATCCCAGCTGACTTAGGACGAAGGCAGGGGACACCCTGGACAGGTCACCAGTCTATCACAGGGCTACACTTAGAGACAGACAACCAAGCACACTCACATTCACACCTATGGACAATTTTAGAATCACCGGTTGACCTCAACATATTTTTGGACTGTGGGAGGAAGCCGGAGAACCCGGAGAGAACCCACGCTGCACGGGGAGAACATGCAAACTCCACGCAGAAAGATCCCAGTACCCCCACCAGGACGCGCACCAGTGACCTTCTTGCTGCGAGGCAACAGTGCTACCAACTGCAGCCCTATAGCACAAACGACCTGTTTAATTTAAACTAAGGTAAATAGCCCACAGATTTATACATGGAAACCCAACAAATCCAAGCAAGTACATTGGAGGCAAATAGTTTAATACTGGGAACATTTCTGAACAAGAACAACAAAAGAAAACTCCAACATACAGTCTATGGAAAGATGCGTTTATTTCAAAATATTCTTGTAACACATTTGGGACAAAATAGGCTCGGAAACCAGACACAACGGAGATAGTTCATGCTGTACATCAAGAGCTTCTTCAGTAACCAGGTATTGCACGAGCTTCTCAAGTATGTTGGACAATGAACACGTGTATTATTACTTCAGCTGTGCCTGTGAAACCATCGGCTCTGGGAGCTCAGAGCAGATTTTAGCCAAGGACAAGCGAACGAAATTGGCATTCAACATGAGAAATGGTTCCATGGGGTTTAACTTGAGAATCGCTTTTTTGTGAACCGCGTGATTCATCACAGGACGGTGGACCACAGAGCCCCCGGCGACAGGGACAAGGTCACCGCCCGACTGTCACTGGCTTGTTATTAGCCTCCACCAGAGATGAAGGCAGCTCACCTCAGAGCTGACTCACTCTCTGACACATCTCAGGCTTCCTGGGAACTCACTTCAAATCACACTTTCTCCTTCCTCTCTGTGTAAAGTGATGTCAGTATCAGTGCTTTATGGAACCTTTTGTTCTTCTACCTCTGATTTCTCTACTACCATGCAGTTTCTATTATCACACTGATACAGTGTTATGCAAATTTACATCGAAGCTAGTCTAAGTTGTGTGATCTGTCTCGACTTTGTGCCACAAATCCATTTTTTAAGTTTATATTTTGATGAACAGAGGAGGAAAGTAACTGACTACAAGTACTGCCTTCACTTTCTCAAGAATTTGTGCTTTTTAGATCATCAATCAACAAGAAATAAACCAGCGACACAATTGGTATAAATTATTAACTAGATTATTATAGAACTAGTGTTGGATTTAGGCTGCACAATATGTAATAGACTGTTGGGACTGAAAATGAGCTCCAGTATAACATTTAATAGTTAGGTTGGATATGTATGGCAGATATTTGCAATTTCATTCCTTTAATTCACTGTGGATATCCATAATGTCATTCTTCATGTTCACAAATGTCATTTCAGATAGCCATAATACCATTTTTACTAGGACAAATGATGTTGCTTTTACCATTCATGTGTATGAGAGATTCTACAGTTCAGATATCTGAATTAGGAGTATTTGTAATTCCAGCTCCAGATATCTACAGTTTATTTCTGACTAATCACAATTCTAGTTTAACAAATCTATAACTCCCCATAATTCAATATATCTGCATTGTACTTTGTACATATCCTAAATTAAGTTGGAGTTGCAGCCTAGCCCAGTGACATTGTTGATGTCTCAAACTGGAATAATGACTAGTCAAAACGTAACTACAGATATCCAGAATTAGAGTTCTGACCAGATGAAATGATGCTGCACATATCTGTAATTGTGTCAGACGCTACAACAAGAGGTGGAGACAGCTTGCTTTACAAACATGCTACGGTACCGCAACTGCATATGATAAGCCACTTTACGGCTACGTGAGAGCAGTCTGAGGCTGACCTTCTAGCAGATTTGGACCACAAGTGTCTCATGAGGGAAGCTTTCGTTCTCCACAAACTCTTTGCTGATGACATCCTCCTATTTCACTGCATTTTCTAACAATTTATCCACCACATCTGACTTGAAAGCTGTTTATCTCATTGATAAAGTAACAAACGACCAAAAAAAGCTTTCTGAAGTTAGTTGATGTCCTGGTTTTTGAGTATACTCTAAAAATCAGTATTTCTACTTTTGCCTAATTTTGTGTTGTTTTAACCATAAAGACAAGAATTCTAAAGCAGCCTTTACGATACTCTGCAGTGCTCCAATGATCTTAATTTTAATAATAATTTCCTTATAAAGTGATTAAAAAAGCTTATCAAGAAAAGATGGTCAGCACTTTGCAGACCATCAAAGACAGAACTGAATTCAAAACAGCGTCCGTTCTTTCAGTTTCCTTACAGCGTTTTACTACTCCTAACTTGTACTTTTACTAATAAACTCGAGTAAAAGTACTTCTTGAGTAGCACAGCAGTACAAAAACAAGTCACTTTCCACCTCTGTACTTGACAGTTTATGCAGGGATGAACCTCAGCGTCACCGTGTGCTTCAGACCGGGATGCAGCTCGGTTGCTTGTAAAGGGAATGTTTATATGTTGTTGACCGGCGCCTCGTCTAAACGCCTCACGAATGGTCTCCGTCGGCCCTAACTACATGCAGAAGTGACTCACGCTGACGAGGACGGACGCTTCAGGAGTCACCGTGTGCTTATTCAGAAGGTACAGTAAGTTACATACAACATAAACAGCAGTAAACAGCAGTGCTTGGTCGGGACGAGATGCTTCGGAGGGGCGGAGGGGGCACACGTGGATGAGTGAGTAAGGCATGACTGGCTGTAGTGGACGGGAGAAAGGGTCTGGACAGGAGAAGAAGCAGGACGGTCTCTGCTCCTTTATGAGCTGTTTTCTCTTTTCTTTCTTTTTGTTTTCTTGACCGCTCCACTTCTCCGGCTCTGTCCTCACACCTCCAGGCCACATCTTTCTCTTTCTCCTCTCCCTCTGCAATTCTCTTCTATCCTCTCGGCCTGTGCGTCGGCCCGGTTCATGTGCTGCCCCTGCGCATGCTGGACCGCAGCATCAGAGTGCACTCCTGAGGGACTTCTGGGTTTTCGATCATGCGCTGCCACACCCGCTGCTCCTCCCCGTATGAGTCCATCCAGTCTACCTCGTTCCCATAGCTTTTGCCTTAAAGGAAGAAGAGGCACAAAAACCTTTATTTTACTTTGTTAGAACGACCAGAGAGACCTGAGGACATTTAAACTCTCTTAACTTCAGATAACACGATGAAGATAAAGCATTTCTACGCAGTATACACGACAGAAGTGTAACAAATGGAGCACATACACAGTCAGTGGACGTTGGTTTGCAAACAGATTATGTGTGACAGTAGAATAAAATCAGCTGCAATGATATAAAAAAAGTCATGCTAGTTATTAATTATTAAAAAGGCCCAATGCACAATACATTTTTCTGCACCAGATGAAGCCAAAGACTAACTTCTATCTGTAGCTCCTGCATGGAGACCATTAGTGTTCACATGAGACTTTATAATTGTTCACAAATACTGCACATTAATAAATAAAACAATTGGATATAAGCTACAGGCGTCCAAAAATAAATACATTTAATTACCTTCACAATTACATTTTCAGCCTTCTGTGTTTACATACAGTAAACTTGCACACATTTTAAACAAAATGTGATGAAAAATGAGCTTCCTGCATTATTTTTATGCCACCTGCAGCGATTTTCTGGAGTCAGTGTTTCCGTTTTGCACTTGTAAATAAGCATATGTTGTAAAAATGTCCAATTTACAGCTGAATAATTTTGGGGAAACTATCTAATTGTAATTTAACAAATATTGCATTTTGCAATTTCATTTTTTATTAAAGCTTCAGTTCATTACTTATTGTGTAATAACTTTAAAACATGGATCATCATCACATGAAACCCTATCTAAATATTTTACTACTCTATAATCTTTATAATGCAAAGGAGAGAATTAAAAAAGATAAATTGCAATTGCAAACATGTATTTATTACATTTTACTTGGGATAGGAGATAGGCTGGGGCTGTGTTGAGTTAAATGAAGAAATAATAATACAAAAATAAACTATTTTTGTATGAAAATAATACAACATTTCTGGAAACATAAAACAAAAAGGTCATTCTACTGGATTGCACATTCTGTAGTCGAGTTAAAGTCATATTAATAAAAAATAAACCCTGGGTCAGACATGCTGCATAATTTATCTCCCAAACTGCAGCCTTTGTGATTTACTAATTGTATTGCTTTAAGCTGTGCTTTCAGTTTGTTCAGAACTCGTCCTCCAACTATCCCTTTAAAGAAATCCAAAAAACTAACTTCTTGATTTTTGATTATCTCTACATCTAAATGTTTTATGGTTTTGTGACCAATTTCACAGAAAAATTACTCTAAAATGACTCTTAAATAATCATGAGATATAAAACACAAGAGAAAATAGGCTCCACTTTGCATTAATCCCAAATCACATAGCTCACACAGTCTGTTTTCCCTTTGACTATTTTTCAGCCTCAATAGCCAGGAGGAAGAATCGCAGCTTCACACTGTGCAGCTGCAGATATCTGGCTTCCACATAAGTGAGATGTAACATTGTCTTCGGGATTTTTGTGTAATATTAACACTGTATCTGTAAAGTTATGATCACAAAAACCCCAATATGTTCAAAATGTATGTCAATAAAAGTCACAATTGAAGCTGGTAACAGCACCACAGTCATACAATCAACCATTCCAGTAGATATACACACAGCATCTCAGGCTCCTCATAGTCAGAGGAAAGCTTTTGAGGCTATCAAGCACCATTTCAGATGTTTAACCACCTTGTTTGAAATTCTGTGCACGCCTTTGACTTGTAAGAGAAAAAACATGTGTGAATGTTTTTTGTCATATACTAACAATGTCTACAGGTTATTTTCTTTTCCTTACCCGTGCCAGCTCCCAGCCTGACTCCTCCCAGGAACACATTGCTGGCCAAAGCCTCCTTGTCCCACACCGTGAGCTCCAGACAGACGTTGTTGAGGTCTCCGGGCTGCAGGCCGCAGTAGGTGAAGGTGTGGTTCCACTGTGGGTTCACGGTGCGTCGCTCCACCGCTGTCTTGTGCTTGGTTGACTTGTTGCTGTCAGGGAGGAGGTATCTGAGGGGAGAGGATACAACACAGTGTTCAAGCTCCCTGTTTTAAAACATCTTGGCTTAGTATCATGGATGGATTACTGAGCAGCTACAGGGGTCTCTGGACCTGTGCGTCTGTGTGAAGTGACTGTTAACATTTCTAGTTGGAAAGTCAATAAAATGACAAAGAGACTCAAAACACACACACAAAATGATGGCAAAAAACTGCAAAATGGTTGCAAAGAGTAACAGAAAAGCACAAAAATTACCACGTAGAGACACAAAACAACTACTAATTGGAATAAAATGTCTGCACTAAGAATGATAATGAACATAAAGTGAAGCAAAGTGACTGAAAAGAGTCATACATATCGATCACACAGAGCCAAAAAATAAGGAAAAAAGGACTACAATGGGAATGCAAAAAACTACAAACAGAAAAAAGAATCACAGAGAGATGGGAAATAATCACAAACTGCTGCAAAATGTCGACAAAGAGTCTGCTCAAAATGTCTACACAGATGCACAAGAATGACTACAGAACAGACACAAAGCCACCACAAAAAGAAGAAGCAACAGACTTATAAAGGAAAATATCAATGGTGAAACACACTACAAAATGACTATTCAAAGATACAAAATGAATGTGAAAAGCAACAAACACTCATAAGGAGATGAAAAACCACCACATACAAATACAAGCGACAACAAAGAAACGCAAAACAATCACAGAAACACAAGACTAGCAAGAGGTGCAAACAACTACAAATAGATATAAAATTATTGCAAATAGATGCAAAAACGAGTACGAAAAGCCACAAAATGGCTACAAACAACTGAAAACAACCACAAAAAGACACACATCAACTCCTGAGAGACACATAACGATCACAGAGAAGCTAAATTATCCCAAAAAAAAGCTGCAAAATGGCTATAAATGGTGTCGAATGGAGCAAAATGTCTGTAAAGTGATTAGAAATGAACATGAACAATCACAAAGACACACAAAAACAGCTTTAAATGATGCAGCTGTTTGTAGTTGTCTGGTTGGTTGCTTTTTACATGTCTGTGTCCAGACAGTTCTTATAATCCATGCATGATGTGGATGATTTGGAGTTAAAAACAGCAGCTATTTATTGGTCTTTTTCCACACTGGAAACAATATTTAACAGTCTGTATATAATGGCCAAGAATCACGACTTTAAAGTGAGTTTTTACAAATATGTTGCCCTTCATAGAACTTCTGCCCACTGACTTTTTCATCCCCTGAAGGCAGCGACTCACCCTTTGACAAAAGGATCCGAAGTGCCTCCAGACTTGACAGCGGTGAGATTTTTGGCTCCTTTGACCAGCAGCTCAACCATGCCTCCTTTAGGCAGAGTGAAGCTGCTCGTCTTCTTGCCTTTCAGGAAACTCTTCTTCACTGTTGGAGGTAAGAGGAGGAGGAGGAAGCAGACAGAAACAGAACAAACACTCATCAGTGTGTAAGTTCGACTTTAGTTGAGTAACACTTAAGAAACTAAACAAGTATGTAGTAAAGTGCTTCACACACATACGCACACAGACACGCATGCATCTTTTATGTACATAGATATGTACTTATGATGATGAGCCTGCACGTTTTACTTTTAAACAAAGAATGCTGACCTACTTTCAGGTGTCAGCAAACATAAATGAATAAAAACTCTAAATATCTGCATATCTGAGTTAGACAGATATAAGAAGCATTTTAGGCCAGAGGGTGGATTCATTAATGACCTCTTCAGCAAGAGAGACTCGACAACAAACTGTATTAAGCAGGATGACAACAATCAAAATAATTCACTCTGACATCACTCATGACCACGCGAGTTAAAACAGCCACTAATAATGATTTCAATATAAGCTGGTGAAGCTTTAAATAAATGAGGAAGGAGCGTCATATCTCTCCTGTGATCTGGTGTGGTGGTCTGTTGCTCTGAACTCAGCTCAAGATGTTTGAATATCTCAGAAACCTAAATGAAAACGCAGATATTCCTTCTACATGCCCGCGATGAGCGTCTTATATAACGCACAGTGGCGAGTGTGAGAGCTGCCTGCATAAATAAATCAAACTGAACTGTGGCAGACAGCGTCCAGAGGTTCAATGGTTGCGGCAGCGGCACACAGGATGCGACCACGACCGAGTGTCGACAGCGTGGTCGGATGCATAGCAGCCTCTGTTTCGCCTTAAGAGTCCAATCGGAATTTCTCATTCCGCAACAAGATGTTTTAAATTTCAAAACAGTCTGCTGAATCATTTATAGAGGCCTGAGATGGTAATTTTATCCAGTGATACACAAGGCAAAAACGTTCTCTAAGAAGGTTTGCAAAGAGTTTACGTGTTGCAACCAATAGTGTTTGCTAATAATATGACAAAACTTTGTATTGCAATTGAAGAAACCCTTCTAAAAGGTGTTCTGTTCTTTCTATTT